TAGTTACAGGGGTCAATTACAATCATTTTTTATCATTACACATACCCCCGAAATCCTACACATTTTCGAGAAAAAATTTCTTACCGAAAATCTAATTTTTCTTCCAGACCTAACTCAGACCTGACCCACACCTAATCCAGACCTAACCCAGACCTAACCCAGACCTGACCCAAACCTAACTCAGACCAAGGTGCCTAAATTTTTCGACGAAAAAAAAAAATTTCAAATCGTTCTGAAAAAATTATTTTCGGTTTCGAGGGTCAATTACAATCATTTTTCGCGAATACACATACGCCTGAATTCCTACTCACTTTCTAGAAAAAAATTCGAGAAGGTGTGAAATTTTTCAACGGGAAAAAAAAATTTTAAATTGTTCTGTAAAAATTATTTTCAGTCGTGGGAGTCAATCGCAATCATTTTTGGTGAATAGACATACCCTCGAAATCCTGCGCGTTTTTGAGAAAAAAATTCAGTACAGGCTCCACTTTAAACGTTAATAACTTTTTAACAAAGCCTCATCAAATTTTGAATTGAGTATTTATTAAAAAATCATTGAAAATCAAATACTTATACTTTATGCTACGTGACCTACATAAAACTGTGATCAAACAATGATTATTCTTATGTGTAAATATTGTTTGTAGAAGAGAAACTTGTTTCTATGCTTTTTATCATATTTTATAATTATGTTATTTATATGATTTGCAATAAATATTGAAATGCAATTGCCATTACTTTATTCTTTCTTTATTTCGTAATATGCTGCTTTTTGAATTTTGTAAATATCATTCTTAGTTTGGTTTTTATGAGCTTTTTCTCTAACCATAACAAACTCGTCAAATTGACTCGGTATTCTTCGCATAGGCACCCGTTTTTCGCTCGTCACTAAAAGGGTTAAAGCAATAGTTTTTATTTATTTATTTATGTATTTATTTGGCGTGCAAACGACCATTATGAAAAAATGAACAAATGAAAATTTGAAAATTTTTCCTATGGGGGTTTTTTAAAAAGTAAAGTTTAATTTTTAAGTTTTAATGAGCTAAAAAACAATATTATAGCCGCCATTCATGAAATAGAACCCCAATTATGTAATAGTGTAATAAAAAGTTGGGTAAAACGAGTCGGACTCGTGAAAAAAAGCCGAGGCGATCATTTGAATGACATTGTATGCCAAAACATGGTTATAAACATTTGTGCAACAACGCTTTTGTAGCGTCAAACAGCACGAGGCTCGCAAGACGTATGCATAAGTTGTTCGATTCGAATAAAATTCTCGACCACCTTGCACGCTCAAATGCATCCGTATCGTGCGAGCGAAAGCATACAGAAAGAGATTGCACGAATTCCCGACAAGAAACGGGGCCCCGATGACGGACAAAGCGGCCGGCTGTTGTAAGAGGAAAACGAAAGCGCACGGTTCGGGCGGAAATCGTTTTTCTGAATCGCGAAAGTTAAGAGTCCCTTTCGAGCGCGATAACGTGAAAGTGAAGTGGACGCTGCTGTATTTTAGCTTGTATTGTTGGACAAGTGGCCCGGGGACGACTAGAGATATACGCAAGAGGGTGGTCTTGGCTCCGTTTTCGATAATATTATGGGAAGCGAGTCGAGAGCTTACAATTTACGAGTTCGTCTCCGCCAGACGCTTCTTCTGGTCGAGCACTTCGGATAATTATTTTTTTTTCTTTCAAACAGGAAGCAACCGTTCACAAATTACTCGAACTCGACGATCGCTTCGAACAAGATACACATTCTTGGTAACAGAACTATCGAGCGTAATTTTCCAGCATGATGTAGCCTGACAGATAAATCTCTATCGATCCCGATCGCGAGCGACGCCGCGAATCTGGAATTCCGTTCGAGCATTAAGATTTCACGAAAAGACCTCCACGGAGTTATTTTCGGTCCGATAAACGCGGGTATACGGCGTCCAGTGAACGAGGATCGATGCGCGGCCGAGTCGTATAGATCGATATCGGCCGGATATCAATCGATCTTGACTAGATACTCTGTAGATCGAAGGATAACGCGCGGAACCAGGTACAACAGAGGTAGATACCTCGAGCGGCGGTTTAACGCGAAGATCGATGGTCGATTGCATACTCAATGGCGTCGAGGAGGCTCCTAAATCACTGACCTCGAGATTTAGTGCACGCGGGGATTCCTCTAGTAATTCAATCGTTCCGAAGACACAGCCCGACGGTCGGGGGGGGAAGAAAAATCATTGAAAACAAACTGCGTTTTGAACCAAATAGAAACAATATTTCCCTAATAATGAATATCGACGACGTACGGTTCTATGGAATTAAAATCAGCAATTTTGAATTCGGCGCTGCGTCGACAAAATAACCAGAAAAAGATCATTTTCTCGTCGTTTAGCGATCCTGCCAGGAAAGAAACGTCTTCATTCGGAGTTAAACGGTCGATTAAAATTCGCCAACGGCAACAACCGGCTCCGAAAACGTCGGATAAAGACAAGCGAGAAGGGGGGCGCGAGCAAGAATCGAATTTGCCTAAAATCATCCACGGCAGCGTCGAGGACCGTGGGTAAAAGCCACGATTGAGCGTTTCGGCTGCGGGGGTGGGGTATTAACATTGAATGGCGAAGTTAGAACCGGCCACGGACCACGTAGCATGCATTAAACATCTGCCATATAGCCGGACAATTCTGAATTATACATCCGTGGCAAGATAGTCGGCTGAGTGGCCGCGGAATTGTCCCACTATTTCTTTGCTGGCAATCGAAGCTGTCCCGCTGCGCGATAACGCTACTCCCCGCGCGGATTGAGCTTCGTGTGGAGGCTCTCTAGGTTTCTTGCTCGCGACAAGATTAAATCCAAGTCTGTAGGTCACGCGCGGTTCACAGACGCACCAGGATAACGCGCGTGAACCGTCGAGCGGAGCCTTCGATTTTGGTTTAACACTTTGCACTTCGCAGGCATCGATATGGCGACAAACGTAATACGTACCGTAGTTAGATTCAAGTTTCATTTACGAGAACACAAATTGAATTTAGAAAATTTTTGTGGGGAGAAAGAATTATTTTTTTATTTTTACTCACATAAAATTGCAATTGGTAATGCTTGTTGTTCGTATTAATAAAGACTCTTGGAGTGCAAAGGGTTAAACGCGTCGTTGCACGGCGTTATTGTGTTGTAAAAAAATTATGTAACCTTAGAACTACATCCCCCATTCTTTGTTATATGTAGACTGCAGATGTTTATGTCAATAAATTATGTCAAAATATATAAATGACATATGTCAAATATAAAAAAAATATTGTAATACAGTTCAGTTTTCAGTGCAAGTGTGCCACTTCTATTTCATTAGTCGAACGTTATGAACGCAAGCGTTCGAAAACTTTTGTGTACACTTGTGTATGCACGCGTGCGTTAAGTTTACTTCGTCTTGCAAACCCTAACAAATTTTTTACCCATCACGGAACTATCCCCAAGTTTCCCTAGCACGAAGCCAGATGCTGTAAGTCCACGGGTGTCGGGGGAATGGCACACGCCGACTACACAGATCACCGCTGCAACAAAGGGCGCCCGTGGACGCGTCGTCGTGGCGAGGAACGAGGGGGTTACAAGATTAAAATTCAGTCTCGAAACTATTGAAGTCAACGAGTGGAAGCCAAATACGAGCTTTCCGTTCGCGCAGTCTAACTGTGTTTATGCACGGAGGGATATAAATACGGTAACCCCACGTGTTCCCGGCGGTTTGCCGCGTTCCGAAAGAGTTAAGGGGCGACACGAGGGGTCGGCGAGAACCGAATATGGCCAGGAATGTGAATTTCTACCTTACGCACCTTCCCCGGACCGGGGGCATTCGTATTCGTGGTGCATGGCAGAGGTATAGGAAGGCAATCGGCGGCCTCTCGTATACGATTGTCTTGTCGAAAGCTCGATTTTCTGGCCGTCGCGTCGGCAGATCCCGGGGCCCGATGGGCCCACGGACCCCGTAGGCGTCGGCCACACTTTTTACTCGGTTCTCTTCGAGATGCATCTCGACCCGCGGCCAACCGAAGGCCGCTGGACGTTTGTTGCACCTGCACGATTCCCCGTGATACCTTCTTCGACCGGGTTCCCTCGGCGTCGCGATAAGTATCAGGGCCAATAGGTACAAATTCGAAATTGGTATGTTAGTGTTTTATTTCCCAACCGCCTACCCCCGGAGGGGGGAGAAGGGGCACGTCGTACGTGAAACGTATGAAGAATGCCTCTGGACCTGGGGGACCTTGGTCGACGCGATTCCCGTTTCGCCGGGGATGAGTTTATTTCGTGGTCAGAGAAACTACCCAGCTTTCGAACCGTGCCTTTTTCTAAGGGGTACTGTATACAGTTACTCCCACTAATATTCGTGAATATTATATAAACATAATATGGTGATTCATTGTATTGTACCGTTGTTTCTGACACTGGTATATTGTCTATTTTGTCATATAATGTGTTTGAATTAATTATAAATTAAACTTGTCAACGGTGCCTTCTTTTAAAAGAGTACTGTATACAGTTACTTCCACTAGTATTCATACACACTATAGTGGTGATTTACTGTATTAAGCCTTTGTTTTTGAAACTGGTATATGTCCATTTTGTCATATAATGTGTTTGAATTAATTATAAATTAAACTTGTCAACGGTGCCTTCTTTTAAAAGGGTACTGTATACAGTTACTCCCACTAGTATTCATACACACTATAGTGGTGATTTACTGTATTAAGCCTTTGTTTTTGAAACTGGTATATGTCCATTTTGTCATGTAATATGTTTGAATTAATTATAAATTAAACTTGTTAGCAATGCCTTTTTTTAAAGGGATTCGTACAATTTGTATTCGTACATTATAATATGGTGATTCATATTTTTACCAAATGTTATTTATTACACACTATGTTATTTCTAGTACTGTTCCTTGGTTTCTTTTTTGTAATATTAACGTACAAGACCAATTACGAAACCCATAGTGTATATGTTTCTGTTGCACTTTCCCAGTGGACTTACCTTGGACATGGCGGCGCCCAATCCAGCTTGACACGAACCCTGCCTGTGGTATCCCCAGTACCCTGAAACGGAAACACGCAATTATACAGCGTTGTCCTTCGCTGTTCCAAACAGAGACGTCATATGTCGGTCGTTTCGTTTGAACGGACCCTTGCCCACTTACCGGGTACCCCCGATAATTGAGAACGTTTTCCAAACGGACTCTAATCGTAACATTTCGACCAGTAATTTCATTGCGCGAATAAAAACTGATTGGACGCAATAGCGGTCAAACTTTGACCCTCGAATCTCTAATATAATCATCTCAATTCCGGTCGACACTACGTAGAATCATTAATGAACTCTTCCATTTAGAGATTCATTGGAAAGGAAAATCTTAAGCTAAAAAATCCTTTACTTTCCCATCGAGCGTCAGAAGAATTTGAATTTCCATTAGGAAAGACGCGTTCCCGCGCGATAAGCTGAAACATTTTGCGTGTACGTTCGCGTGAACCTTTTTGCACCGTGACATCGGAGGTCGTGTATCAAATCGTCGACAAAAAAGTCGAATAGGCATCGCCTAGAAGGTCTATTACACCACACGCTCTCGCGCAAGTCCGTGGAATACACGCATCATTAATCCCAGATCGATCTTCCGCCGTGACGCCTTCGCGATTCATTTTCTCTCTTCCCGCGGGATCCAGAGATCGATCCATCAGTTCCTCGTTCGAACCTCTCGTGCCGTTTCTGAGAAACTTCGTTCCAAAGTTCGCAACTCGAAACGGAATTAAACTCGATCACGCGATTACGGGACTCGATTTGGAGCGATTAAACTGTCAGACCGAAGTCAGTAATCATTCGATTATCGTTATAACAACTCAACCGACCTACCATAATTTACAAAACGGTAACAGCAATATTCGTCGCTCTTTCGATGAACAATTCCACGATTATCGTTTCCATTCCGCGTTCTACGACCGCGATTTTTATCGTTGCCTCGCGGCTTTCCTATAATTTTCAGTTTTTCTACCCGTTAAACCAGTTTAAACGACGCGTCCGCGTCGCGCGCGCGATCGTCTACGAGTTTGACAGACCATTTTATCCGCGACTGATTCTATTTCACGTGCTGCGGCGGCAATTACGTGTCATCCAGAAAAAGGCAGGGGTTATTATAGCCCCGTTCTTCTAGTAATTCGCTCTTTCCGTCTCGAGGCTACGCCAGCAAGAATGCCCTTTTGCAATCGTAGAAATATCCGCGTTTCTTCGCCGCCTCGGGCCTCGCGATGATTATTTCACCGCGGAATAGCAGCTGCCTCTGCCCGCGCGTAAAAAGAGACAAACGACACCGAAGACGCGTCCGACACGCACCGCGGGAAATCCATTTTTCCGAGTCGATCCAGTTCGATCCTCGTTTTCGATTATTCCGTTTCAACGGCTACAACTTCGATCAATCGGATCGAAGATATTTTTTTTAGACGCGACAACCTCGTGGACGAAATCGACGTACGCGAGTGTCCGTATGTATTTACGGACGAGCAAGAAAATCACGATCGGAGGCGTCTAATGTTTATTAGCCAATTAAGACGAGAAACGTCGGGCCAATTACGCGGGATGGTCTATTTCCAGAAACGTCGAACGCAATTATCGCGGGAAACGTCTCAAAGGGGTGTTCCTGGCCGAGACGACGCATCGCGACGCAGGAAGTAAAAGACATCGCCGGGAGAAAGAGGTTTTAGTTTCGTTTCACGTGCCAGCGACGTTATCGTGTAGTCTCGAACCGTACGGAAGTTCTTTTACGCCCATCACTGTACATCGACGCGCACGACGGGAATGCACAAATCTGCGCTCGCGAGATACACGCACGGGACCATTTTCTATGGATCTTTCACCAAATCTCCCGTGGAATATTCGTAAAGTAGAATAAACTGGAGTGTATCTATCTCGAAACACTAATAAAGGAAAAAATGTCGAAAAGTGATTGTTTTCGATTTTTGTTCCAGAATTCCCACACGCGCGGCACACTGTGCGCCGCCGGAAAGATTAATCTCGGGTCTGACACTCGGCGTTAGCGTCAATAAGCTGCGTAATTGTCACGAGTTGCTGCCATTAACCGACAACTGGGCATTATCAATTCACAGAAGCAACAAAACCCTTCGCGCCGTTGGCGGATTTAAATCACCAAGGTTGCGTTCAGGTCGAGATATAATTATTTGCCCGTCGTTAACCGCTAATTATGAATTATCGGAGAGAGGCTGCGACTATGTCGGGGTGCTCTGCTGCTGTTTGAAGCCTCGAATCAGATTTAAGTAGCAAAAGCTAATTCAGGAAGGAAAGGTTCTCGCGAAAGATTTACAAACATCTGTCTCAACATTTCGCGATACCTGGTTGCGATAGAATAGGTAAACAAAATTGGACGAGTGCCCAGAAACTGCGATACTTGGAGTTCTCGAAGTGGCTTCTGTATAATGGTAGGCAACCATACGCGGAATAGTTGAATGCTGATGATGTTGGGTACTCCAAAATCGTTGCTACATTCGAGAGAACCGTGCATAATATTCTCGATGATATTCATCGGAAGTTACTATAGAATTCAACACCTTGATTTAATTACAATTTTTCAAAAGTACACACACGTTCATACAAATTAATTTTATTTATATTGATTTTGTGTTGCGAAACACCTTGTGTATGTTTATTTCTCGCGGATCTCCGTGGCTGAAAGCTCGAGGTTTCGATCAAAGTCCCGTCGCGTCGCGAAATTAAAGGCCACCTTTAGCGATCCAACGATCGCATTCGCATGCATGCGAAGAAACGGCGGCGCCGATCGATGGCGCGCTTTATGCCTCCTTTTTTCCTTGCTCGACACGGTTGGATCGTCGTCGACGACCGATTGATGTAATTGCGTGACTGGCAGCTCGTCTAAAGTGACCGATCGGCCGTCAGGGCCCCTTCGTCGGCGCTCATAACGTATGTACGTACGTGGCCATGTAGGAGAAGGCATGGCCAACGGTCCTGGTACGGGGGTCCCACCGGATATTCTCCCATACACGCATCGTTTTCTTACTGGCGTGTACGCAGTTACGCGTCGCGTCTACGAGTCACCCGGCCTGGAACGACGCTTCACTTTGTCCATCGAATTTCACGTCAGTCCTCTACTTTTCACGCAAAAACCTAGCTATCTTGTTACAGAACTCTCCTGGTTATACTTTCGGCACGTATCAAAGGTGGATCTTACAAAATGATTGATTTTAGCGTCGTCTGAAAAGGCAAGATTCGTACAAGAGCTTCTAACTCCTATTTTAGGGGATGATAGCAACGTGCTACTTTAAATAAAATTTGTAAACCTTGTTCAAAAGATTCTTTGGTACTTATTATCTATCGCCTATAGAATCGTTTGAAATGATACAAAAATTACACACATATTTTTCACCGAAATTCATAATTTTATACCGCCGTGGCAACAATAATATCGTTATTCGACGTTAAAATTTAGACACCAGGCGCATAACTTGTGCTAAAGTGCGTATCGTCGAGTTGGACTCGTGGTCGGAGATGTACTATGTTTTATCTCGTAGTGTCGCGATAGCACGATCTAAATTATACGGTCTCTTTTATTTCTACAGATTAAATAATAATTGCGAAATATCTATCTTTGTACCATCGTAACTAATTCCGTGCTTCTGTAACCAACAACGAATACAAGAGAGGAGTCGTTGGCAATTGATAAACAACCATCGAAACTTATATTTACTATTTCCTCGATTCGTTGATGAATTATATTCCGAACTCTTTCGGATAGGCCGTTCAAGCAATTTAAATTAAATTTCTATGTCCGGTGTATGGACGCAAATGTGACATTTAAAATAATTCAACGAGGGTCGCGAAGAACGCCCGCCACGCAATGTGGGTCGCGATTACGAAAAGGTTAAGGCGCACTGCTCTAGAAAGTAGTTTCCCCTTGACTTTCTATCTCCTACGATCCGTAAAAAATTAGTTTTTAACTTCGACGAGGTCCCGTTTGAATATTCTGCGAACCGACCGCGAACAAAACGTCGAACGGGGTTAAACTGCAGTTCCAAGGTTCGTTGGTGTTTGCGTGAAAGCTGACGCGTAAGGTCTGATGTGCGAAGCGACAAAGGACAGGTTCGATTGGGCGATATCGTCTCCGGTCGATCTATTTATAATCCTTCGTGTCTCGATGCTTTGCAAGGGTGCTATTCTCGTCAGTAAGAGAGTGCTCTGCACTCGAACTTGGTCCCGCGACAACTTGCCAAGAAAAGGTTCCCATGCACCGATGTTTAAAACCAACCATATCCTTCTTTCGACCTGTATCGTTACGCGCGAGATCTTTCTAGGGGTTATGTTTAATCTATGGAAGCGTTTCTCGAATTCAGTTGTCTCAAAATTTTTCAAAGCGTTATTTAAATCGATCTGGACGATCGAAGCCAGGAACAGAAGCTATTTTACCAATAAATTTTAAATTCGTATCTGTTGTTCCAATCCTGTTCTCGCGAAGTAAATCGACCAGTGTTCGAGGGACACTATTATTGTGTAAATCGATCGTTTCGAATAGATAATTTGATAAAAATTAGACCGGCACGGTGAAAGCGGTCGCGTTGTACATACGACCCTTAATCGAGTTACGCGGTATGAATGGAGCTACTGTGATTCTGATTCCCCGTAAACGTGTGGGAGTGTCGACGAGCGATTAAGTATCCCCTATCGAACCTATTTCCTTTTTTCCAGCCGGAACTTCGAAGATCCTCGATCCGATTTCCCAACGATATTCACGGAAAACTATGTAAAACTTTTTAATTCGTAAGATCGACTCTGTAATTTGTATTTATCGAAGGAAAGGGAAGACGAAGCCCCGATTCGGATGAATCGGCGTAAGAATGACGTCCGCGCGAGACAAATTAAACGCCGCAAAGTACATTTTTCACGAGCAATTCCGAGCGCTCGGCGAACGCCGCTTGTCGCAATAAAATCGCAATAAAAACGGATGGTTCTTATTGCTCGCGTGGAATTCGAGATCTTGTCCCCCTGCATTCCCGTTCCTAATACTCCGTTCAGGGGACAAAGTGTTCGCGATTTTTCGCGGCCTACCGCGAATAATCGCCGTCTACGAGGCAACGGAGCCGTCGGTTTTAATGAATCCGCGGCAAGAAGAGATAGCGCAGCAGCGCGAAGGCGGCAGATCGGTAGCGCGATCGTAATTCAAGTAGGATCAAGTGCTAATTGGCCTCGTTAGAACGGTGCCGAGTTAGTGGCACGAGGCGATGGCGCCTTCTAATTACGATTTTTTTCTTTTTTTTGTTCGTTTCGAAGACCCACCGGTCGCTTTGACGGGTGGGCGGGCTTTCATCAAGGAATGCAGTTACTGCAATTCATTGCCACTTTCACCCGACGTCGTTGTTCCATCGTGCGTTCGCATTCCTCGTCGGATGCCACGTTTATTGTTGCGATACGACTACGCGACGAAAAGACACCGCTAAATACTTTTGGTCATTTTTGCGGATTAAACAGTTACGTATCGTGTATCGAATGTCTGGGTTGAACGCTTGCTTTTTGCTTACTGAGTCAATTTCGCAATGTGCTGCGTCAAAATGGTAGCAAACTGCTCGAACAATGGACGAAATTTCTATAAAAACTGTTTCGAATGGAAAAAGTCGAATGTAATGAAATTCTACGCGAATATCGAATTATTGCAGCTATTAAAATATAATGGGGGATCGTTAATATTTATAACGCGACGAAACGATCAATAAAATGGTATTGTGCTATTAAGGATACAATCCCAAGGTTTTCAAAATCAATTTTCGTCGAGGCAAACTGCAATGGAAAATGTTTTATTTCCTGGTCGGCGTAAGAAGAAATGTTCCATGTTTGATACCAAATTTAGACAAATACGTTGAGAGTTTATAAGGAAGTACTGGAAACTGCACACCGTAATAACAGCCTGATTTCTGCGGAATCGCAGTTTCAAGAAGGCTGGATGAGACTTGTTCTGCTTTCGTTCGCGTAATCACTGTCTTAGCGCAGCGAAGGTAATGGACAGAGCGTGAATCATAAATGTCGTCCATACTAGTCCGAGACCTCCGTCGTCGTTCTAAAAGCTCTATTTAGTTGTGCCCAACACCGTATCGTTTCTTTTTTTTCTCTCCTTGCAACGCACTTAACACTTTACAGCCCGACTTTTTGCTAACAGCAGTAACTAGAAAACGAATAATCGTCTCTGTATGCTACGTGTAAAACAAAAACTCTATACATAACGTAGACCCAATTTATTTAATTGAAAAGTCAAACAAATTCAAGTGTAAGAATATAAATAAAATATTAAAAAGACATATAGTTTTTTCTAATTCGACATAAACTGTCTTTTATTTTAAAACATAAAAAATAATAATAAAATCTAGTTTATTCGTAGAGTTCATAATCTTTCGAATGTAAATCCTGTTACTGATACTATAAACATGCATAACGATTAGATAAAATAGTTAAGAAGTGTAAACGTTTAAACGTGTCACTGTCGATAAAAACGGCACCTAATTGCTCATTTATGCTGACATAAGTGTTGCTTACTATTCTCTGCGAATAGCGGAAGCGTACACGTGAGCAAATGAACAGAAATAAAAATTACGTAGTAGCAGATGTTTCCGAACACCCATCTTCCGCGAAGAACGGCTGTCGAATACGTTAAACATATCACTTTTTTAGTTACAGATCGAATAAATTAATTTAAAAAAAAAAAGAATCGTACGAATCCCATTGGACGAAAATAGCTGCTCAATTCCACTTATCGTTTCCACGGTTTTATGATCACCAGATTGTGTAAATCGTCGTCTCGTAAATAATTCAAAGTGTACGTGGAATCGATCAATTAAACGTTCGAGTCGATTAAAAATAACAACAATCTGCTGTACAATTTACGACGTCGAAGGCCGCGGTGTATGGCGAGCCTGCGAGTACGTAGCTGCGAAACGGAGTATTTGCTTTCCGAAGGAAATTATACCTATGACATCGTAAACGCCGACAAATGGTTGCCAGTTACACGATGACAGATAAGCAGACTGTGAAACGTACACGGCAATTCGCTCCATAAAAGGCAACAATGAGCAACACGATACTAAAGAGCAATGAAGCGAGACTACATAGTCGGCGAAAAATCAACTGGACTGAAGTTCGAAAATTAGCAAAATTTAAGTAATATTCAAACTCACGATTTTTATGAAATTCATTTACACATATTTCTAATGACCTGTGAGATATTCGAGTAAAGTTTTCTACCTCTACTTTGAGGGTAGATTACACCCAAATACGGGTGAAATATTTTTATTTCAACAGAAATTTTAGCTTCGTTTGTAAATTAACTTCTACGTACGTTTCATTCGGCGAATTAATTTATAAACGAAGATACGTCAACGAATTTTTTAAAAACCAATGTACAGACGGATTTGAAATTTTTATTCGTTATTCGTGAATAAAATTTGCTCTGAATCTTCTCGTAAACGATCCGATGCTAAAAGCGGGCTGCGATTCTCGGGAAAAGCGGCAGCAAACGTTCGCTTCCACAAATTGTTTAATTGCTCGCTCTCGCCCGCGGAATTTCTGGACGATGAGCTCACACGTCGCCGTCTCGTGATCGTTTCCGCGAGGATGTCACGCTTTTTTGATGGATCGCGACGATATCCATCCAACGAACGCTCAAGAAGAAACGCGAACCTGTTGGCCTTTGGTAAAAAAAACGTGAACAACGAGGGAACGATTACAGTACAATGACTGTATCTTTAGAGCTTTTTCTTGCCTCCTTTGATCTCCAAGAACAACTACAGATGTGCAAAATTACACAGAAAAAGGCATTTAAGATAGACTACCTGAACACAACTTGTTTACCTTTGACGATGGACAAAAAGCTTCGAAGGAATCTTTATTACGAAGGAGACGTAATCAACAAGCAGTGCAACAAGAGTTTTTAAATGGAATTAGTAGCTTTTTAAGACAAAATTGGAATTATAAGTTCGAAAAATTTGAAATCTACGAATGACAGAAAGCATGTTTCGTCTTATAGCAAATGTTTAGTCGTTCGCAGGAAAAGGATGTTTTTCTGCGGTGCATAAGTGCGCACCGGATGCAACGACTGCATCGATCGGTGCATTCTGCGACAAAGGACTACATATTAAGCGTCGCACGTTGTCTCTTATTTCGATCCTTTTCAATCACATCGAAGGAAATACAGTCGAATGGTGATTATACCATCTGTCGATGCCATGAATTATTCACGATTTAGTGGAAGAGATTGATTAATTTTCGTCTTTGGACGAGTGAGAGAATTAGAAGACATTGCGAATTGTTGGTTCACGACGAAATTCTGAAACTGTTTAATTTAACACTAGAACTACCGGAAGTGGTCAAAATGATTGGTAATTTCTAATGAAAATTCTAAAAAATTTACTCGACTAGATTTTTGAAAATTCATCGTAGTTTTCTATAAGAGAATGAATAAACATTTATTTTCATTGCATTATACATTTCTTCGAGTATATATCGTTTTCATTTCTTTGGTATAAATAAATTCACCAAGTTCTAGTGTCAATAATATTCTAGGCAGTGCACTTAGTTGTAATAATCTTATCTTTATATCGAAAGACTAAATGTTTCTGTATCAATATAGTTCTGTCATCGAAAGAAGACAGTCTTTGGGCTTGGAAAAGACGATTGACCGGAAAGACTTCCGAAACATCCGAGGAACGTGGATGACAAGCGATACTGTGTCACACAAAAATAACTTCTGAAATCTGCGCTGAAAGTCTGTCCTGCCAGTGATAAACGACAACTAATAGGAAAATGCTGCACATTCCCAAGCACCGTATCTGAGACCAGCGATAAACATTATCGCGAGGAAAAAAGAAAGTGCATTTGTTGGCGACGAGTGTACACTGTTCCTTTAATGCTCAGACATTCGATAAGACTGCTCGAAAGAAACTCGAACAAAATTCAGAAGAAGCTGTCGATATTATTGCAGAACTATCAGTTTAGAAGACATTACATTTATTCGATTTTAGTTGACAAATTTATAATTACAGAAGAAAAAATATGATTCATTTTTCCACTCGATGTTGCTTCTGCTTTCTAAAATCATCGTAAATCAACCGGAGCGACGAAAATCGATACGCTTTTTGTCGTTAAAAACGCCACGGCAGGAAATATCCTGTTACCGAACGTAGTTATGGTTGCCATAGTTCCAAGGGCACGGTCACATGTCGCGGCTGATCCTTGTCAACCACGGAGAAAATTTCCATCCTGTGGGATTCTAGAACGAATCTATTTGGTTTAGAGCTAAAGAAACCCATCTGCTTATTTATATATTTTTTTTAACCCAAATCATAAAAGCATTAAAATAGAAACAAATTAACTCGACGAAAGAGTAAATTTTTATTTACATATACTCTGAAAAAAAGTCTTAAATATTCCACAATTGTTAGAGCTTCTAACTAAACAGATCCCTCAAAGGACGAAGGGTTTAGCTCTCAAGAAACAGGCTGGAAGGAAACGACCAAGCTCCCCGGTTTCGAAGCGTTGTTTACTGTTTATAGCATTCGAGGCGAGTGTTTTCAACGGATAAAAGTGTTTTCCCGATTTCTTGCTCGTTTTTTTCGTAAACCGAGCTAATTTGGGAACGAGAACGAGGTGTACTCTATAAATTCTGAGAACCCGGTTTCGCTTTGAGTGCCAACGGACCGGGAACAGTGGTGACAATTAAAGGCGTACGCTGTAGGCTTTGTGGAACGATTAAAAATATTTCTCATATTTTATCATTATTCAAATTTAAAAAATTTTCATTATAAAAGCACTCAAGATTTCGAAACCGTTACTCGCGTACGCTTGTAATAGCGTGTTAAATCTTGTTGTAACTTTGTAAGGCTCACTCGGTATCGTAAGTAAACCAGTTTAGGACGACGGTAGCTGGGTCCTTCACCTACCATTCCATCCCAATTATAACGCAACAGCATAATCGCGATACAAAACGAGAAAGATACTCACTGGTCCGGCAGGGTGAAAATTCTTGCGATTCGTTGAACTGGCTGTTAACGACCCAACAGGTGCCGACGGGCTCCCTTCGATTTCCGGCCGTCGATTCCTTGCTCCACCGATTGTCCTCGGAATCGTACTTCTGCTGGGACAAGGAGAACCAGATATACCTGGGGGCACACGCCTGTGAACAGACAACAGAAAACGTTTAAACGTCGCCGTCGATACGTGTTTCTATCGCTCATGACCGTTCCGAAGCAATTAGACGTAACGACCGACCGATCGACTTGTCAACGATCAACCCAACCATAATAAAGTGGACACCATTTACCGAGGAAACGCGATTTTCGAACCTTCCTCCACCCACGACGATATTTCTCGAATTTGGTACCAGCAGTAATATGGAGAATTAGAAAAATTGTATTCCTTACATTTTACATGACATATAAAATTAATTTAGACACTTTAGATACTATTTTCTATATTTCGTAAATTTCTTAGACTGTTAGAGAGTGAAACGATGTGTTTGTATCGTTCACGATCGTTCCATCGCAATTAGACGTAATGGGCCAGTGGACTCGTTAAGCGCGCTTTGTTCCGATCTCTGGGAAGTAAAGACTTCCACGTCGATTGAAATTGCACGTGCTGTGCAGCCGGTCACGCCTTTACGTGACGACGTGACATCAAGTTCGAGACAATCGCAGCGTGAGATGCGTTCGATCGCGTTATGCAACCGAGTTCTCGTATCACTGCCACATTTAGATGATTACCAACGCTTAGACGGTCTCGAATGTTAGTCGAATAAAATTTCAATACTACTAGGTCATACGACTATTCCAAGACGAATCATTCAAATAGGATCAAATGAATCATAATAACACTTTTTATTTCTAACAATACTCCGAAATAACAAGCGTACAACGTGTTGATAAAACAATATCATTCATAAGTACAGGTCAAACAGATAATGTTTAAGAAGCTAAAACGAACGTAAAAATTCTAACAAAATAAACAACAAGTCACGGAGAGAGTTAATTAATTTCGCACGCGAGGAGCCAGAATTTAATGAATAGCAGTGATTACGGTTCGCCACAGTGCAACCGGTATTAAACACCGCGATCAATCTTAATGAGATTGACACGTTATGAGTCACGGAATCACGGCGAACCTGACAACGAACCGACGGTCTCGAATTTCCACGAATTCTATAATTAATTGAATTTATCGCGAGACCGGGTTTTAGCGCTCTCGTTCCACGCCCCGCGACGAGATTGCGCGTTAACGAGTTTCAAAGAAATTTCTTAGTCGCCGTTCTGGTCGATGAGACGCACAGTGCGTCGTTGCATACGTATATTTACCCGTCGTATTATTAAGGTCATCAGCTGCTAGCGTGGCTCCCTAGTCAAGTACGGATGATTGACGTAATACGGAGATTATTGCGCGTGTGAGCGAACCTTGTCCCAGGATCGGAGCGCGAAAACAAACGGTTGAAACGATCCTATCGCCAAAAATACCCATCGTGTCGCGAAAAAGAGATGACGTACCCATCGAGCTGCACTTTAGCCTCGAAACGAAACGTGAGAAACATAGCGATACTAAACTTGGTACCCATTACCACTCGAGCGATATTTTAGATTTTTCTTTTCGAGAAACCATTCTACACGACGATTTCAAACATTGTACATATATTTGTTTATGCTTCGATTGATTATACGAATATTTTCGCGCGCATATTTAATTAGGAACTGTTCGCGTCGCGGTGTACAGTTTGGAGAACGCTGGTTTATGGGGCCCCGTGCACGCAGTCAGCGGTACGGGAGCATTTAATTCGAACGTTGCGATAAATCAAACGCGAAAGGGACAACGCAACGTTAATGCAGATTGCGTCTATATGCAGATTCAGGGCAGAACAAACGCGTGGTATCGTCGCGTACGCGGGCCCGGCAACATTTTAATCGGTTTCCAAGGCTAGCCCCGTGTAAACGAGCCCTAACGAGCAGGACGCTGATTCCGCATGCACAGGAATCGTGCGCCCCGACGGTGCACGCAACATTGCATTATTAATTGCGAGCCAATTAAGGCGCGTTACAAACGTTACATCGTTTTACCACGCGAATCGGATGCTGCGCGAGCGTTAATCGAAAACCGAACGAGAGAAGCATCGCCCCTGTTGTCGTTGATTAACGCGTCCCGAGTGAAAACTTGATTCCGTATCGAGACCGTAAGTGTTCTCTGTCTTTCAGCGTTAAAACGACCATTACGTGCGAACTTGTTGCGCGCGATGAGCTTCGGAGGATCACTTTCGTTTCGTCGAACGCTACGACCATTTTGGAGCACGATTTTTCAAGATGTTCACGATCTTCGGATGTGGTGATTTTTATTTCATTATTTGCTTTTCTTTACTGTTAGTTCGACTTTCATACTTCGAAATATAGCAAAATTGTTGTGTGAATTCTCTTTAACCCTAGAACTACTAACAATTATAGTGTATTTATTTGTATCGAAGAAATTAAAACGACAGATACGTGAAGAAATATATAATGAAATGGAAATAAGTGTTTATCCTCTAAGAAAATTTACAAAAATTCAGTCGAGTGAATTTCTTACAAGTTTCATTAGAAATTACGAACGGGTAATTTTGACTGCTTTGGTAGTTCTAGTGTTAATTAGACGTAACGACCGTCTGTCTGTTCTGGCTTCCAATTCGTCGTTGATCGTCGAGTAGAGGAAAGTCAGGAACGAGGACCACGAAAAGAGAAGAGCCTGTGCGTCGGTGTGTAACCGCAATTTATCCATTGCGCCAGTTTAACTCAATCGCAACAAGGATCGTCGCCTTGAATCGTGCGTACGGGACTCTCGAAACGGAAGGGCGCCGAAATAAGTATCGACTCGAGTAACGAGTTCGTTTTGCTGTTCAGAAACGAATCGTTCGAATACTTTTTCTTCAAATAAAAACGACGAACAAAACGTTAGAAATGGCCACATCTTCGATATTGGAGAAATTCACGTAAAATCGTTTTAATTTCTTCAAGTTAAAATTGTCCGACTTCCTGACACTTCGAAGCAAACAAATGATGACCGAACACGCGAAAATCGGGCATCGAAGGGTTAATACTTCTCGAGAACGCCAAATAAACACATTGCAGCCCGTGTGCACATATTTGTGCGTTTCATCGAAAGTCGAGGTGAAGTCAAGGCGGATATTTGTGCACTTTTGCTAATATTTGCTGAATATGATTAACAGATGCCACAAGAACTTCAAACTGATGAGTAAAGAAATTATTATCTCATTAATAGAAACTTATCGACTTGGAACAGTCATTTTCTGATACTTTAAAAAATATAAAACGCTCAAAGAAAATGAGAAAGTCAGACGTGAAAGGATTAATACTTCTCGAGAACACCAAATTAACACACTACAGTCCGTGTGCACATATTTGTGCGTTTCGTGGAAAGTCGAGGCGCATATTTGTGCATTTCTGTTAATATTTGCTGATGCGTGACTAACAGATACCGTGCCCGATAAATAAAACTTAGTATCTATTACGGAAACTTTACAGTTTAATCTGGAGTAGCGATTTCCTTATACTTAAAAAAAAAGTTTATTTCTGGAAAATTCACTTTTATCTAGATCCTCTTAACTTTGGACTACGTACAGTGTTTCTATATAGATATTTGCGAGGGTAAAACGTATGGGCGCAAAGATAGAGATCTCCCCGATCGGTCAGCAATGCGTTAAAGCGTTAACAGAGAAACTGCAGTCATTTTTTACGTATCAAAGACAAACGAGAGACCGACTTCGAGGGTCGAAACAGCTGGTAGAACGAACGAGGGGGGGATAAAAGTATTCTCGAATCGAAACGCATAATAGCACAGGACAGCCCGCAAAGAAATATAAGAATGAGTTTGGTCATCGGACGTTCCAAATAAAGCACTCCTTTAGCGAACCCCTTTTGAATGCGTCTCGTTGAGCCGGATCGCTCGAGGAGGAAGGCGTACCACCAAGGAAGAGTAAATGAAGAGGGAAGTCAGGATTATCACGGGTTACAGCTGCTCGCGGATCGATCGTGACCGAGCCGCTTTAAGTAAATCGATCTTGTACCTCGACACCAGGCCCAGATGCATCTTGATCGTGATACGTATTAAAGAATCGACAGCTGATCGACGCGTGGATGATGATCGTGCAGCACCAGAACGCTGAAAAAGCAAAAAGGGTAGACGAAGGTTCGATGTTCTTTTTCCGTTACCGAGAAACGAAGTGTAACGATCGCGATACGGAACGATCCAGGGACGCTGTTGCGAACAATTTCGATACCGGTTCGAACGAAAAATGCGTTAAACAAATTCTGAATTATATTTCTATAAATAGAAAATAACCTTTCGACAGTTGGACTTTGGGAACAACCAGAAGTTCGACGATGCTCGAGGGTTAATGAGAGAAATACATACATACGTGCGTGTCGGGCCACTCGAAACGCAATTTGCTCGTCGCCAAAAAGCCCGGAAGACGTTGAGGATGGGTAATGACACGTTTCAAACGCGTTTACTTCGATCGTAAGGAGGCAAATCGTTCGGGGAACGAAAAGTAAGGTGCCTTTAATTGCGTGGAGAAAAGAGGAGCGAAAGGTTTCGAAAGAAAGGGCAATAATAACAATTCGAACGACGGGCAGTATTCTTTGGGCGTGATTGCGCTAACCGTATCTGCGTTCACTCTTCATTAAAAGGACCACTCGAAAGAACTTAAGCCCGGGCTAATGGCACGGTTCTTTTAATGTCTTCAGCCGAACCGCCTTCGACGGGCCTTTCAACGCGCGCGAGAACGTTTCGAGCTTTTTCGATCCCTATCGAACACGCTTCGATCGATTTCTTTTCGATTAAATTTACCCCGAAGAAATAAGTAACAAATAAAATCAGCTGTGTTTGAAGTTTTCAACGAAGTTTGAAGCGTCAAGGAAAGAATTATACCATAAATCGTACGATTCGGGGTAGGGAAAACCCAGACCAGACACGATCGTGTATGCCATCGATATTCTATGTAATACGGAAATAGGTACCCAAGACATTTAAAGCTGGGAAACACTGCGATAAAACACCCTTGAAAAAAGGGCGACCACGTGGAAATACCTAAATTTCTGTTACCGAAAAGATGATCGAAAGCGACCGTTCTCCCCTCATTGAAAATCT